TCTCAACAAGGCCTGACCGCCCTATTTCAACAGCTTTCCTCCCCGCTTACCTTGACCTAGCTTCCCGCCATAGCACCGGCACCTCCTTAACATACTATATGATTTACGTACTGTGTTTGTCGTCTCTCTCAGCTAGCATCTAAGAGGGACGGGTCTCGTCCGTTATTCTCTGCTGCACGTCCACATCTGGACAGGACCTGGCTCCTTACAGGTGCCCAATTTAAAATGCTCTGTGAGTAAATGAATCACCTTTATCTTACCCATTCCCAGCCCACTAAACATTCTAAACTGTTAATACGAAGCCGAGTCAAGCAAAGACCACCATCTCTTCCTGCCTCCCCTTCCCTTAGCTAGCACCTCTAACCTTGCCATCTACTTCACCGGGATCTTTTAGAATCTTGAGTTTGTCCTTTGGCATTGGGTCACCTGTGAATATGACAAGCACATCTTCATGGACGTCATTCACAGAAATTCTGAGCATGACAAGTTATAGCCTTTTTCCCACAAGGAGAAGCTTCTTACCAGGCTGGGAATGATGCATGAATCAATCCTCTCTGAGTAAAATCAGGTGTTCATTTAGCCAGGAATGTTCTGTTCTGAATGATGTGCATGTTTGTATTTTATCTGGCCATAAGGATAATGTGAGACACTACTGTCAAATGCATTCTCAATTACTAATTGAAAATTCCACCCAGAGAGGCAATTGCTTTAAGAGGCACCGTGCAGTTTGCCAGTTTTATAGCTGACGAGCCCATGGTGGCTCTTGTGAGATGGTCTCTGCAGATTCATTCTGGGATCGGAGTTGGAACCCGTGTTCTCCGATGTTGGAGGATCAAACTCAAACTTACCAGAGTTTCCAAGGACGCTGTGCCCACCGTGACCTCCCCGCACAAACTGAAGTCTCTAACCCTGAAGCCTTGTTTCGAAGTGGTTACATTGCCTGGATGGGAGAGTGGCTGGACCTTCTCTTCCGCAAAGACTATCTTCATCCAACAGCCTTCTCGGACTCGGTCCCCTCTTCCTTGCCAGCTTCCCAATTTCTTCACTCTCAGTAGCTGCCCGTTTCTACACACGCTACGTCGCCCCTTCCTGCCACTGAGCGCAACCGACATATGGGCTCGAACAGCTTTTCTTCGGCACGATTTTGCTGTCAGCAAAGCCGAGTCAGTTTACGACATTAGAGCCATTTCCACTGAACAGACTGAAGTCACAGCCATGGGCTCACTCGAATGCCTGTGATCATTAGCCGCGGCAACTGAAACCCCAGCTTTTCAAAAGCCTTTTAAAAATAATTGAGTAATGTAATCCTGCATCTTTATGAAAACACTTTGGGATTTAAAAACATTTTTACTGTTATACGTCTTCCTTGATACATTTTTTAAATGTTTCCTGATAGAGCTGGATTGTACTTTTAAGCTATTACAGGAACCGAACCAGTAAGCTGGCCTTTCTAAAACCGGAAAGGAGGTCTTGACAGGGAGTCTGCGTTAAGCTCTGTTACAGCAGAAGGAGAATGGAAGGTTCAGGAAATAATGCGCTGATCTCCAGGAATATAAAGGAATCAGAAAGCAAGCAGTCTATACCCTCCGAGGCAGACAATGACAGCCCCCAGACAGTCTTTGACGTGACAGTTAGCTTCACACGGGAGGGAGGCGAGTTCATGAGAAGGCAGTAACAGAGTCCGACAGTGCTGCCTGAGGTCTGTGGTCTGCAGACTCCCGGAGAGGCTGCCGTCAGAGAGAGAGAGGTTTACGGGGAAGAACAAAGAAAGGAATTAAAATAATCACCATGAAGGGAACATGGCACAGAACAACTCTGCCGCATGATCTTGAGTCTCTGAAAGTCAAGATGCGTCAATGCATTAAGCAAATGAAACCGAGATCTTGAAGAGGGAGGGAGGGTGGCCACGGTGGTCCACTTAAGAGTCCAGTCACACGTGGTGCTCTGGATGTGGAGGGAGCCTCGTCGTCTGTCCAACCACAAACTGCCCCCTGAGCCTCCTCAGTGTGAGGGCCTGGGAGATCCTAGGAAGCCAGCAACCTGAGCCTGGCATTTTCCAGCAGAGAACACGGAGGACTTCACTGTCGCACAGCAAAGACAGGAAACAGAGGCAATTAAACGAAGGGCTTTGGGGTCTTTCGACCCTAAGCAGTGGGCTTTGTGGCAAACTTTCCAATTCACACAAGAGGAAACTGAGCGAAGACCGGAGAAGTGACCTGACCCCAGGCCGAGAAGAAGAGGGTGGAATCAGAGTCCCGGTGCAGGGCTCCCGATTCCCAGAGGAAAGCGCTATGGCGCTGCCTCCTGTGTCTGGGGGCCTGTCCCTGCGGGAGTGCGTGTGCAAGTGTGCCATTGGCGGCTTGCACCCGAGAACTGGCGATTCTGCTCCTTATTTCCAAGTCCCACCGTACTTTCCAAAGCTCGTTTCACCCAAACCAAGACTCACAGGTAGCTGGCCACACTGAACCACCACTAGGCCAAGGCCACAGGAGAAGGCGGACGGTGTTGTCAGAGGGCCATTTTGAAATCCCAATGGCCAGCCCCCATCCAAACCCACCCCATGGGCCCAGAACTGCCTGATCAAACCAAGTCTCTCCCACGCGGTGCTGGAGGAGACACAAAACAAAACAGAATTCGTAACCTCGATGGTATCTAATGAGCACCATTTTGCAGTCACCCCCCAGGCACGTCTGTTTCTAATACACTGACACCTATTTCCTGTCTTTTCAATCATTTCCCAACTTGGCGTGGTAGTTAGGAAGGTCAGGCGGCTTCCTTTTACAGACGAGAAAACCAAACAGGTCACATGCTTTGCTCTGGTCCTGCATTAGCGGGTCATAGTATTTCCAATCTACGATTTTTTCCCATCCGACCTCTCTGCCTGATCTTCGTACATACAACCCATTGGCAAATCCCCACCCAACAAACTCTGACGGGTAACAATGGAGAGAAATATCCACCCAAGTCTCAGACAACAATTACCACAAATGTGCCTCGCTGGCCAGTCCCCTGTGATGACAGGTCGGTGCTGAGCCTGATGGTCATTGTCAGGAGAAGGCCATCCCTTGTGGGCTTCTTAAGGGAGGAGACCTTCCTTTTCTTTTTTTTTTTAATTTTTAAATGTTTTATTTATTTCTGAGAGAGAGAGAGACACACACACAGAGCATGAGCAGGGGAGGGTCAGAGAAGGAGGGAGACACAGAATCTGAAAACAGGCTCTAGGCTCTGAGTCAGCTGTCAGCACAGAGCCCGATGCGGGGCTCGAACCCACGAACCGTGAGATCACGACCTGAGCCGAAGTTGGACGCTTAACCGACTGAGCCACCCAGGCACCCCTCCTTTCTTAGGATGAGAGCATTCCAAACCTTCTGCTCAACATGGAAAGCAAAACCCTCAGAAATGGAACAAAACCTCTCCTCAAAATGCCGCACAGCCAAACATCTGGTTATCACTCACTATTTCTGGTTAGAAAATGTCTTATTTATTTGGAAGCAGTTTATGGGAGTAGCAAAGCATTAGGAATTTTACAATAACTTGCACGCTTGTGTGAAATGGTCACAGCTGTGCTCCCTCATTCCACAGCAACATGGCCTGGAGACATGTTTCCACAGAATCCTGGGAAGCGACCGCCGCGTACACCCAGATGGCCAATCTCATCGCAGGACACGGAGGCTCAGGCTACCGTGACGCTCTCTTTCCCCTTCATCGCTCCGAATGCAGCAAAACTCCAGCCAGAACAGCAAGGACACCAAAGCAACAGCTCGCTCCCGCCAGGTCCCACCCCGTCTCCTCAACCCTCATCCCATCTGCCGACACGTACTTTCAAACCAGACCTCCCCGCGGCGGGGGGGGGGCCCTGAGCGCCGGCTCCACCGAGCATGGCTCAAGGACGGCGCACAGACCCTTAGTGCCCCCCACTGTGTCACCCGCCCTGGGTCGGTTCAGCCAGGGTTTCGATTCTCCGCCTGCCTGTGACCGTAAGATGGCCCCGCACCACTGACGCCGTCATCTGCTGCGGGGAGGCTGGGCAGGAAGGAGAGGTGTCGGCATTTATAAATATACTTTGAAATGCAGGCTTCAAATAGATGGGAGTGTTCTGAAGATACGGTCCTCTAAACACTGTAGGAGTCTTGGAAAAAAAATCCACTTTCTAGAAAGTATTTGATCAGAAGTTCATATCATCACACTTCCCGGCTGTAAGCCAGCATCTGTTCTTTTTCTTTAGGAGGTTTACAGGCTGCTCGCCAGGCCACCCCGGCCGCATGGAGGAGGCTGGCTGCTGAGGCCCCTTATCAGGTGCAGCTGAACAGGACACTGGGGCCACGTCCGATCAGCCACTCACAAAGCCGGCACCCCACGCTGACGGGGAGCCCCATTTGCCACGGGGCTGGTGCACGCACTCTGACAATTTGCTTCCCTTAACAGATCAGAGGAAAAAGGTATCATCCCTAGGATGGAAAAGCAGCTCTTAGACTCAGGCCCGGCACTAGGTCATGGGACTCAAACTCCCTTGGGGACTTGGTGGAGTTAAAGGGGGTCACGTCACTACCAGAACAGCCTGGTGACAGGTGTTCACGGCACTGGTGTCGGGTGGGTGAATGCCGGGGCCTGCGCGAGGCAGTTTTTGGAAATGTCCCACACCCTCGGCGCTGCAGGGCATCATGCTGCTTCAGAGTGTCAGGTGGCTGGTGACAGTGTCCTTGGTCACCCGCCAAGGGCTTGGGCAGCACCAGTGCAAGAAAGGGTCCCGGGGACCCTGCCTGTGCTGCTGCCTGGGAGGTGTCCTTGGCTTGGGATGGGTTTGGTCTTCCCTGCACAGGGTTCCAAACACTGTTCTCCAGGTCCTGAGCGGCAGCTTTGATGAGAGCCACCCCGAGCTGCTTTCCAGAAAGAGGCTGTGTTATCTGAGATAACAGAGGCAACATTTCGTGCCACCAATTCTGAACGTTCTTGCCACTGATGCCATGGATGCTGGGCCTGCCTCTGCGGGCCCTGCTCACCTTGGGGTTGGTGCGCTGCTGCAGCCTCCTCTCCTCCCTCTCTCTCTGCAGCCGCTCGAACTCTTCCCTGATTTCGGCTGGCGTTCTCCTCCTTTCCACAACCTGCGGGCAGTCAGAAGGAGGAGGCAGTTAAGGACCCAGAGAGCGAGGAAACATACATCAAGAGTGGATGTCGTTAACTGTTGGCGGGTCCGTGTGGCCCAGGTCTGGCCGTTCCCTTCCCGGGACTCTAAGAGCGGCAGCGACACCCTGACGAGCCTTTCTCCCACGGACCCAGGCCCCGGTGAGGCCAGGCTCTTGGTCGTAGCCACTCAGCTCTGCCCGCTGACCATCCCCGAAGCCGTGCTTTCCCTCAGCTCTCCAGACAGACATAAGCACGGTTTCCTTCGTCCCAGTAACTTCTCTCTGAGGCTGCAGGAATCTTACAAAGAACATGTCACCTTAAGTCGCATGGTCTAAATTTCCTAACGAGTCCCAGCCCAGAAAATGAACGTTAAGGATGAAAACAGAGGGCGAAGGTGCCCACGACAGCCCTGCCGTCTCTCCCCAGTGTCCTGGGGTCATCGCTGGAGATGCCTGCTGAGCTTCAGCCACCAGGCCCGGGGGGTTTGTACAAGTGTGGGACTCTTCCCCCTACAACATGATATGACCCCGAGCATCTATGACGCCAGATAGACCTTAGCATAAAACAGCACTCAGGTACCAAAAGGCAGGCCACGTAACACTCGGGGATGTGCAATGACGTCAAGGCGATGAGAAAGTAAGGCATTCCATTTTGGTTTTTCTTAGCTCATCACAAAGTGGAGATTTCAAAGGGGCAGGGAAAGGCTACCATGGGCCTCAGGCCCCACCTCTCTGAAAGAGGGACCTGTGCCGCGTGACTTCTAGGGGTCCGGGATGCCATGGCCTTGGAGAAACACCGAGAGTGGGGAGGACCCACAAAGTCATGAGATAGGTGGGGGACAGACCCAGAGAGCACACTCCCTGCATCAGTGGGAGAAGCACAGAGGCGCCTTGGGAGGCTGCTCACAGAACAGCTAAAAAGGGAGGTGATGTGAGAAGAAGCAATCCTGGAAATCACAAGTTTAAAAAACTGTTTAAAAAAAATACATGCTTACAGCAAAAAATCAAAATAGTACAGAAGGATATAAAGGAAAAAAGTACAATTGGCTTGTAGCTTGTTCCCCCTTCTCCACCATCCTTCTCCCAGGCTAACATTTAGTTTTTTTGTTTTTGTTTTTAAATTTTAAAACGTTTTTATTTATTTCTGAGAGAGAGAGAGAGAGAGAGAGACAGTGTGAGCAGGGGAGGGGCAGAGAGAGAGAGAGAGAGAGACATAGAATCTGAAACAGGCTCCAGGCTCTGAACTAGCTGTCAGCACAGAGACTGATGCGGGGCTCGAACCCACAAACTGCAAGATCATGACCTGAGCCGAAGTCGGACGCTCAACCGACTGAGGCACCCAGGTGCCCCTAACATCTAGTTTTTAATGCATTTTCCTAGATACCCTCCGTGTGTAAATGTGCGTGTATACAGTCTAACATAACCAGTGTCATGTTCTTCTAGGTTTTGTGTACCTCCATTTTATTATTCAGCAATATAGAAAAATAAATACAAAACCTGGCTTAGCCAAAAACATACTGAGAAATGTATTTACTATTGCTTTCAGGAAGTAAAGAGGAAAAAATAAGGAAAACAACACTTCCTCCTCTAATAACCAGATGTAATCAATAATTACTAAAATAAAAAACATGAGGCGCCTGGGTGGCTCAGCTGGTTAAGCGTCTGACTCCTGATTTCAGCTCAGGTCATGATCTCACAGTTCATGAGATCAAGCCCCGAGTCGGGGTCTGTGCTGACAGCGTGGGGCCTGTTTGGGGTTCCCTCTGTACCTCCTCCCCGGTCATGTGCACACTCACACATGCACTCTCTCTCTCTCTCTCTCTAATGAATAAACTTTAAAAATAAAACAAAAACACCTAAAAACCATCCAAGAACAAGTTGAAAGTCCTAAGTGGCATGCCCGGGATTGCTTTGTGACCTCACAGCAACACCCTCAGTTGTATTTAACTGGCACGGAGGCTCACTTGGCTACTTCTCCAAAGTTGAAGGCGTGAGCACCTGCCCTAAGTCCCTGCCCGGACGGGAAGGGAGCAGAAGGGAGGCTTAGTGCTTCCATTTTCGTCACCTTTCCCGTGTCCTGTCAGTCTCTCCCTTCATCACAGAGAATAAAGACAAAAGAGCTTCAGGGAAATAGAAGTGATCAACTATTCCATTTAACTGAAGATCAAGATGGATCAGGAAAAAAGGATTTAAAATATTTTAGAAATTCTTGGTGACCTTTGGACCCAGATTTGGCGGGCCTGTGACTGTGGAACCCACCAGTGGTGACCTAAGCGACATATTACCAAGGTCAAGGGGGTCTGGATGGGAAGCACCCGCTCCATGTGTCCCGGAGTAATGGGACTGTTCTACCTGGATGAAAAGGTTTCACACCGGGGATTCTGCCCAATGGGACATGGGGTCAGGAGTGCAGAATGAGCACGGGTCTGACCAGCTAGGCTTACCCAGCACACAGACTCTGTGTGTGTGTGCCTCTATGCTGTTTTTTTTTTTTTTTAAGTCTGTCTATCTATGTATCTATGGATCTATCTATCTTGGGAGAGACAACGCAGGTGGGGGAGGGGCAGAGAGTGAGAGAGAGAGATCCTAAAGAGGTTCTGCACTGTCGGCATCGAGCCCAAGGAGGGCTTGAACTCACCAAACCGGTTGAGATCATGACCTGAGCTGAAACGGAGAGTTTGACGCTTACCCGACAGAGCCACTCAGGTGCCCCTATACTGGTATTTTTAAAATCCACAGGTATGTAAGATTCCAGGAATTAAGACTAGAAAGTGTCAGGCTCCACAGAGGCCGGAGCAGAACAAGATTTGTTTTCAGAAACTCCATAGCCCACCTCACCTCTGCCGACTGGATTAACAGCTACAAACCCTGTCCCCTCGAGAGGCAGATACTCCAGAGGTGTTAAGTCATCCCATTCCCAGTCAATTTTACAGGAGTTTTGGCACAGAGCTGGTGCATGGCCAGAGCTAACTGCAAAGCCAGGATGGCGGGTGCCTCCCCAGCAGTGAGGGGCTGGGCAGGGCACCCCGCTCCAGCTTCCGAGGCCCCCGGCCTTTATTCTCCCCTCCACATGGCGTGCACTCTGCTGGGGGAGAGAAGAAGACGGGGCCAGCTGCAAGGCACGGTCTTCCATTTCAGTCCCCCTCAGACATGAACCCCCGGAAGCACAGCTTCCTGCACTGTGTCACGGCTGGTACATACCAGACGTGTTCGATGACAGAGTGTATCCCATGCAGCCCAGGAAGCCACATACCCTGGCTGTTCACCCTAATCATTCACTCACCAACTAGGTCTGTCCCTGTGCTAGCCAGGAGGACGGACTTACCTTGTGGAAGGGGGACGGGGACTCTGAAAAGCAAGGCAGCCTGGAGGGCAGCAGGCTCTCCCACAGTGCCTCTAACCTGCTGGCGGCCTCGGGGGTGGAGGGGGGAGGTCACTTGACCTCTCCCCCTTCAGATCCCTGCTATAAATGAGGGGTTAGACTACAGCATTGCTGAGGTACTGTCTGGTCTGAAAATTCTGATCCTAGCTACCTGACTTCCATTCTGGAGTAATTCTAGAAGATTACTTAGAACTTTAGAAAACTGACAAAGACAGTACAGAAAGTTCTTGAACACCCTTCACCCAGCTTCTCCAATGTTCACACTTTACGTAACCTCGGGACAGCTGCCAAATCCCAAAACCAACCTCGGTGCCCGACAGTGAGCTGAACCCAGACTTTCTGGGTAAAACCCAGATTTTACTCGTTTTTCCACTAACATCCCTTGTCTGTTCTGGGACCCAATCCAGACTGTGGAACTGCACTCAGTCACCCCATCTCTTTAGTCTGTGAGAATGCCCAAGGCTTTGTTTTCGTGATCTTGGCCATGCTGCAGCCCTTCTTTTTTTCTTTTAAATTGGTTTAACGTTTTGTGTATTTCTGAGAGAGAGACAGCGTGAGCAGGGGAAGGTCAGAGAGAGAGGGAGATACAGAATCTGAAACAATCTCCAGGCTCTGAGCTAGCTGTCAGCCCAGAGCCCGACACGGGGCTCGAACCCACGAACCATGAGATCATGACCTGAGCCGAAGTCAGGCGCCCAACCGACTGAGCCACCCAGGCGCTCCATGCTGCAGCCCTTCTCAACGCAGGTTACCTTCTCAGACACGGTTAAGACTGAAGTCTAGGAGAGTGGAAGCAGTAGTGCAAGAAGGATAACGTAAGGGGCTGCAGACGAAACTAGAGAGTGGACAGTCTGGGCCAAAGGACGGGGTGCACCGTCTGCCGGTGCTACTGAGGCGTGTACTCTCCATTCTGCTGGTGAGCTGTTACCGGATTCAGCACCGCCAAGCGTCCCCAGCTCAAAGGTGAGCCTCGCCACTCTGAAGCCAATCTCATTTCCAAAGTGGGCAGCCACGCAACCCCCGCTAACCAACCTGGAAAACTAAAAGGGCTGGTTTTGCATGTGGGGGTGCCTGCACCTCTGCACCTCATTTCCATGGAATCCTGCTGGAGAATGACAAAGTGTCTTGGAGGTCCAAAGAAAAAAAGCAAGCAATGGAAATGTACCTAGTAACTGAATGCCGGGCCAATGCTTAGTGCAGCCTCAACAAGCTCACATTTGCTCCCCAGTGGCCACCAACAGCAGGGAGTGACCCCTCTCTGCTGGGCAGGGAGTGGCCACGATGCCTGGGGTGGGCTCTGGCATCTCGGGACTGAAGGCGTTTCAGGCGCTAAGGTTTTTACAGTGCCCTTCAGCGACTACTCGTATGTTCAGACTGACAGATGCGGGGCACATGGATACCACCAGCAATTAGATAAGTTAAATAGCAGCAACAGCACAAAGGGAACTCAGCTTCCTCCCTGGGGAAGCAGCCCTCACTGCTGCAAGAGAGCCCTCATGTGAACCTGCCGGCAGGTTCCTTGAGGAGGGTCTCCTTGAAGGAGCAGTGATGCTGGCCCCACAGACTGCTCCTGAGTTCATGGAGACTCTTCACTCGCAGCCTGAACGAGGGGCTCAATTTTCCCATCATGTGTTCTTCTCTGATTCATCTCTCAGTAAATATCTGGGGAGGTATCTTCATGTGCTCTTCATTGAAGAACATTTTTATCTTCAGTGAAGGCTTAGAATCATTGCAAAAAAAGTCAATGAGATTGATGAGAACTTGATTTTCTTAAAGCAGCTTACTAAAATACATGAATGTAAAAATGTATCTGCTCACCATCCATGATGGCCGATGCACTTGTATGATCACTACTGTGCATGTGGTTTTGCTTTGTTTCTAACATGGAGATAATCTGGTCTGGCGACAGGAAACCACATGGTATTTTGCCAGGAAGTTGTTATTCTGCCGCTCTGTTAGTTGGGATAATGCTGCTGGGAATTCACAATCCTGCCTCCGAAGGGAGGGACTGGTGAGAGGCCTGCGGGAGGGACTGGTGAGAGGCCTACGGCCTTTCAGTGGCCATGACTGCTACTATGAAACACTATGTCCAAACCATGTCTTCAGAAACTGAGGGAGCCTGAACATGGTGTACAAAGGGTGAGGAGAAGGTCAGTAAACACAACAGGATTCTTTTTCCTTTTAGGATGAAAAAATGAGAAGCTATTAGATCTAATGCTTCGCTATAATGAACAATGTGTCATGAAGCACTGCTATTTCCATCAAACCAAAGACCAGAAATGCTGGAGGCATGCGGATGGAGGGCTGGCTGGATGTGGGGCAACAGGAGGTGCTGAGCGCCGGGAGGGCCACACGGCGGAGGCGTGGGAGGTTTGGTGGACTGTGGTTTCCCACGGGGGCAGTCAGATATACTGCTACCAGATTTTCTGATTTTTCCAAGAGAAGACAGACAACTGCGTTTTTATGCAAAATGTCCCAAGTTTTAAATGTTAGCGACTACAGTTCATTGTGCGGGCAACCAAAGCCTGGCCACGGGTGGAACGTGGCCCACAAGCCAGCAACATGAAGCAGGAGTCACAAGGGAACCAGAACATGCCTCGCTTTCTCCTGTGCCCACGGCCTGTAGAGGTTTTAATACTAGTTAGAGGAGAAAGACTTACAGGCTTGAGATGAAACATCAAAAGGACATCAAGGGTAATTTATACACTGATGAGAAAGAAATCAACAATGGCCAATTTAACATTAAGAGCCTCCTACAATTTCTGGGGCAAGAAAACCCAAATTTCTTTTCTTTTTTTTTTTTTATATTTTTATTTATTTCTAGGAGAGAGAGAGAGACAGCATGAGCAGGGGAGGGTCAGAGAGAGAGGGAGATACAGACTCAGAAACAGGCTCCAGGCTCTGAGCTGGCAGTCAGCACAGAGCCCGACGCGGGGCTCGAACCCACGAACCGCGAGATCATGACCTAAGCGAAAGTCGGACGCTTAACTGACTAAGCCACCCAGGCGCCCCTAGAAAACCCAAATTTCTTTAATGACCTTAAGTACTAAACCTGTACGTTCTTATAGCAGTTTAGAGTTTTCACACTGATTTTCGTATTCATCTTCCCACTTGATCCTCGTCCCCTTCCACCCCTGCACACGTAACATGGACCTGCTTGAGGCTCTGCGACTAGTCAGCGGGAGAGCAAAGGCAGAACAGAATCTGGTGAACCTGAGTGACTGTTCTCACACAGCATGGCTCCCAGAGGAATTTATTTCATTCTGGCCAATTCAGTAGATCCCAACTTTTCTGTTTCCATTTGTCCACACGCAAAGCCCATTACCAACAGAAACACGTCCCAAACGCAGATACTCGTAACCTGGGGCAGAGAGAGCAGCACGGGGCTGTGGAGGTGGCAGGAAATGCATGTGGGGACAGAACCGCATCCCTGCAGAAACTGTCTTCCATCAGGCCCCCATCCGGCCTGTTTCCTCCCCAGGGCTGGAAACTACTGGTATAGCCTACGCCCCTGGCTTTCTACTTGACAGGTTCGGACACAGAGGACGTGCTGGGTGACTGACCTGCCCAAGCACACGGGCACGGCCGAGCCTAGAAGTCAGTCTCTCAGACCGAAATACAAAGCCAGGCCATGTGTAGCCACATGGATGGACCTTGAGGGTGTTATGCTGAGCGAAAGAAGTCAGGCAGAGAAGGACACATATCATATGTTTGCACGTATAGGAGGATTAGGAGGAACTTAACTGAGGAACAAGGGGGAGAAGAAGGGGGAATGATGGATGTGGGGGGGAGGGGGGATGGGCATGGAGGAGGGCACTTGTGGGGATGAGCACTGAGTGTTATGTGGAAACTAATTTGACAATAAGCTATTTGTAAAAAAAATAAAAAATTAAAAAAAAAAATAAAAAGAAATACAAAGCCAGGGACTCAAGCAGCTTCCAGTATTCTTGATCCCGGCCCATTGGGGGAGGGGGGGGAGAGGAGGTTGTTCTGCAGATGTCAAAGGACTTTCTCAGGACACCAGACGCACGGGTTCTCTTACCTCCCATCCCTCCATGTCCAGGCCTCTCTTCCCATAGATGTCATAGATGGCCCTTGTCTGCGGGTCGCTGAGCACTGCGAATTAAACATCACACATTTACAAAGCACGGGATTCACCCTTCAGACCCGGGAACAACATCATCAGGTAAATGCACCTCCTCCCTGGCTCCCTCGGCACAATCTCGCCAAGAGGCCCTCTTCACCCCTGGGCATCTTTCCCCCCAACTGCCTTTCTGATCTGACCCAGGACGGGCTTAAAGGTGGGACACAGATGAGAAATGTCAGATTTTTCATGTCTAAGCGACTCTTCATTGTGAGGTGCACCTTGTAGGAAGCTGCACACTCAGGCCACTCAAGGAAGGTTATTTTTAACAAATTTGGGTAAGCTTCTGCAACAGTCTGTAAAGTACTGGGGCTTGAACGAGTTAATTCCAGAACTGAAGAAACAAAACATGAATACAGAGGAAGGGGAGGAAAAATAAGATAAAAACAGAGAGGGAGATAAACCGTAAGAGACTCTTAAATACAGAGAAAAACTGAGGGTTGTTGGGGGGGGGGGGGATGATGGGCTAGATGAGTGATGGGGCGTTAAGGAGAGCACCTGTTGGGATGAACACTGGGTGTCATATGTAAGTGATGGATCACTGGGTTCTACTCCTGAAACCATTATTACACTGTATGTAAACTAACTTGGATTTAAATAAATACACACACACACAAAAATTAACACACAAACAAAAAGAGTTAATTCCAGTTTCTAAAGCTTATTCAGACAGGATCTGAGTATAAAATCAGATTTTTCTATAATCAGAGCCTCTCTGAATAAGCTTCATATATGTTCATATGCTTATACTTATTAACTCTCCTCTTTTTTGTAAATCATTTTAAGTCCCAATCACCTGTCACCATGGTCGCTGCCACATCACCTAAGCAAGTACATCAGAAAGATTTTTCAGGGAGGGTCAGAGCTACGGGAAGGACGTCCAATGGACGTTCTCTTCCTCCTCTCCTCCGCCGGTTTGTTCCAGACCTTTGAATCTTTTCTCCCCTGAGACTTCCCATATATTTTTAGGCCTAATTAAAAAAACGATGTAAATGATTCTATCCATATTCAAATCTAATGGGGAAGAAAGAAGTGCTGACCACTGGAAAACGTGGGAGGCAGACTTCGTGAGCTAATCTGTAGGATTTCATCGGGAATTATTTATTCACGGCTTTACACTGGTGTCTCCATTAGGCCGAACATGGGGGCAGGGCTGCTGCCACAGCACTTCCTCAAGTGCCGTTAGGGTTTTCTGTTTACTCTTCCCTGAGTCTCCAGAACAACCCACTGGCTATGGGTGACTTAGGCAACGGTAAAATGAACACAGCCATGTGGACAACAGGATACGATAAAAGGAACAGGCTTCAGGGGAGCCTGGGGGGCTCAGTCGGTTAAGTGTCCGACTTTGGCTCAGATCATGATCTCACGATTTGTGGGTTCGAGCCTCGCGTCGGGCTCTGTGCTGACAGCTAGGAGCCTGGAGCCTGTTTCAGATTCTGTGTCTCCCTCCCTCTCTGACGCTCCCCTGCTCACGCTGTCTCTCTCAGAAATAAATAAAAAAAAACATTAAAAAAATTAAAAAAAAAAAAAAGGAATAAGCTTCTGGTTGGGTGTTAAATCTGCTGACGACACAGTACAGACCACAGATGCGGATTGTGCGCCGCAGGCGAGTTTCACTCATCAGTAAAATCTAATTTTTTTTTGGTAAGACCATAAAGTGAAATATGGCATATGCTTTTAAGTCTACAACAAGAAGTCTTTAAAATAGATTAAAAATATGTTTTAATGGGGCGCCTGGGTGGCTTAGTCGGTTAAGCATCTGACTTTCGCTTAGGTCATGATCTCACGGTTTGTGGGTTCGAGCCCCGTGTCGGGCTCTGTGCTGACTGCCAGCTCAGAGCTTGGAGCCTGTTTCGGTCTGTGACTCCCTCTCTCTCTGACCCTCCCCTGCTCATGCTGTCTCTCTCTCTCTCTCTCCTAGAAATAAATAAAACATTTTAAAAAATATATGTTTTAATGCTTATTTTTGAGAGAGAGAGGAAGAGAGAGAGAAACAGACAGAACACAAGTAGGGGAGGGTCAGAGGGAGAGGGAGACACAGAATCTGAAGCAGGCTCCAGGCTCTGAGCTGGCAGTCAGCACAGAGCCCGACGTGGGGCTCAAAACCACGAACTGCGAGATCATGACCTGATCCGAAGACAGATGCTTCACTGATTGAGCCACACAGGTGTCCCAATTATGAGAAGACTTTATTTTGGAAAGAAACACATTATCTAATTTTTGGTCTGTCTAACCAAGGAGTAAATCACCAATTTGCACTGAGATAAAGAACTTATTTTACTTGGTATGTATTAAAAAAATTTTAATAGTTTATTTATTTTTGAGAGAGAGAAACAAAACATGAGTGCAGAAGGAGCAGAGAGAGGGAGACACAATTTGAAACAGGCTCCAGGCTCTAAGCTGCCAGCACAGAGCCTGACACAGGGCTCGAACTCACAAACCGTGAGATCATGACCTGAGCCAGAGTCGGACGCTTAACCGACTGAGCCACCCAAGTGCCCCACTTGGTATGTATTCCAAGAGTACATTAATATTTTTAAATTTTTATTATAAAACTGTGGCAGAATATGCATAACATAAAATTGATTTCAGCCACTTTTAAGCATACACTTCAGTGGCAATAAGTACATTCACCATTATGTTGCTAGAGCTTTTCTACCATCCCCAATAGAAACTGGACCCATTGGTGACTTAAATATTAAAAAAATTGTTTTAATGTTTATTTTTGAGAGAGAGAGAGAGCAAGTGGGGAAGGGCAGAGAGAGAGGGAGACACAGAATCTGAAGCAGCTCCAAGCTCTGAGCTGTCAGCACAGAGCCCGACGCGGGGCTCAAACCCACAAACCGTGAGACCATGACCTGAGCCGAAGTCAGACGCTTAACCAACTGAGCCTCCCAGAGACCCCGACTTTAATATTTTATACACAGCTACATCACAAAATTTTCTTTCTGAAGTACCTAAGATGTAAGTATAAAAACCTGAATTACTTGATTCTACTTCCTGTTGGCCTTACCATCATTTTCTTCCTTTTCTTAGAACCTTTCCTTAACCGAAGGCTCAGGAGCCAATAAAATGCTGTTCGTATAAAAAAAAAAAAATGTTCCTGAACATGTTCTCATAAAAAAGAGAACAGAGGGCTTGTCTGAAGCGATTGGCCCTTTACCTGTAAGAGTTCCCTTTAGAAGAAAGCCAAGCGAGCGATTCAGAGCCTGAGTGCTCCCTGCAGCCCAGGCTCGTGTGCAGCTCTGCTCACACTCTCGTGTCCCACTGACTGGACACATTGATTTCCAGAGCAAACTACTACTCTTTCAAAGGAGCCGTCAGTAAAAAAGCACTAACCTAACCTCCTCCCTTATGCACCTCTGAGGACTCTCTTTCTGTCCTCTACAAATCAAGTCTCTTAAAAATCGAGCAGCTGCTTTTCAGGGCGCGTGCGTGAGGCCCAGCCATCCGCTGACCTTCATAAGCCTGGTGCACAAGGTTAAACAGTCGCTCCGCCTGGGATTTGAGCTCTGGGTCCCGGTGCTTGTCGGGATGGTACAGCATGCACAGTCTCCGGTAGGCCGCTTTCAGCTCTTCAGAGGAGGCCTACGGAGAGAAAAACCCAGTTAGAGAAGAATCAACGCTGCTTAAAAACTATTGTGATCAGAATCAGCCTTGAAACGGGAACGTGTCGGCCGCTCTCCAGTGTGTTTGCTTTCTACATTCAGGACGTAATGAAGTTATGCTTTATTGCTCCAATCAGGCTTCTTTTTTCCACAGTTAGTAAAGTGATCAATTATGGCCATCGACAGCAACTGTGTTTTGCCGATAAACGCTGCGATCAGATGCATCTCTCTGCTGGCTCAATGTGCTCTGAGCTGAAACTAAAAACGTCACAGAGACCCGCTTACTTTCTAACCCAAGTTATTTGAAATAAATCGTGCCAAGGTGCACTCGACAGAAAACTGGTTCCGACAGGACAAAGCTGTGTACCGTCAGACAGGAAGGCCGTGCATCTATCAGTTTTCCGACAAAGGAACCTCAATGAATATTTACCCTTGAAAACCACATATAAAACTGTAAAACCAACACACGCCTGCGATTCAATCTCTGATTCTAAAAGGGAGCACAGAAAGTGGGCACAAATGCGTTGCTGTCCTATAGAAACAAAAACCCTCCCCGCACCCAACAAACCCAGAAGACCTGTCCCCAAGTGTTCAGTCTCCCCCGCCCGACCAGGCTTCAGCTCCCCAGTCCTCACATGTCCGCAGTTCGACGGAAACCACGCACCACGGGAGGAGCAGATGATAACGAGTAAGTACAATGGACCGAGTGTTATTTTAGCCACACAGAAGGGGGGAGGATAAAGCCCACACTCTGCTTTGCCTGCCGCACAGCCACCAAGATGTCCTCAGACACAGACTCTCTCAGAGGCCCTAGGAACATGGAACCACCAACCTGGCCAGCCCCCCGGGTCTGTTCTGGGGAAGCGTGTGTGTGACTTCATATCGGCCCTAGGGACCATTCCAGTCTATCCAGGGTGATGCCAAGTGGGCAGCTCTATCCAGATCATCGGTCAGGTAAAGAACACCATTGTGACAACAGAAGCCGCCGACACACTAGAGGGGCCAGATGACCGGCCCCGGTCCCCGGAGAGAATGCCAGGGCCCACGGTGAGCCAGGAGCAGGCCTCGGAACGCGCGACCGCAAGGAGAACCGGCACAGGCACTTATCAGGGGTCAAGGGTACAAGGGAAAACGTTAGACCACATTTTTCTATAATTTCCACAACTTTTCATTATCTTCCAATTCCAGGACTAATGAGGCTTTTTCACTAAGGAAAAAAGGCAAAACTTTACCGTACTTTAGTAATAATTTTTGGAATGATATTTATTTTTAGCTTTTTAAGTTTATTTCTTTAGAGAACGAGCAAGGGGCAGAAAGAGGGAGAGAGGATCCCAAGCAGGCTCTGCACTGTCACTGTCACGAACCATAAGATCATGACTTGAGCCGAAATCAAGAGTCAGATAGATGCTTAACCCACCGAGCCACCCAGGCACCTGTGGCACGAAAGTTACGCTAAGTTCTTCAGAGTCTAGAAAACCAGCAACGTTCTGCAGGTTCCCTAGAGGTTTTAAACAAAGAATTCTGAAGAACTCCAAAAGGAAGACACTCCACGTGACTGGTAAGATGTCATCAGTCACACGTGCCCCAGAGGAGAGACTGGGGGAGGCCTGGTGCCCCTCGGCACCCCCAGGCCCCTGGCTGACCTCTATGAGCCCTTCCAGCTCTGATGTCACATGATCTGTTATCCAGAAAAGAAACACCGGTGCCTGAGACGCTCAGTCTGTCCTTTAAACCAGACGCAGACCTTTGCTGTGTGTTTGGACAGAGGCTCATGTGCACGTAGTTTTAACTCAGCAGCTTCTTGCAAAGAGTCAGAGGCCCCGTTGACTGAGCAGCCCTTTGCCTCCAAGCACCAGGCCGATGTCTGCTGCGTTCCAGGACCACTGTCTTCCGCCCTCCCTTTGGGGCAGGCCCTGGGCGTCGCATCACACTGCCAAACAGCTTGTAGTTGCTGCCTGCCTTCCTTCTGTCCCTCTGCTCATCTACGAGGTTTCCTGGGTGGCGACAAACTGGCCTCCAAGCTCAGTAGTGTAGGACGCGGGCTGGGGGCAAAGGAGTTTTCTGTGTCAGGGAAGGGGAGACAACGAAAGGGAGAGCGCGACCATACGGTGCTTTGGAGCGCGCTCAACACACGGCTCGCGCCTACAAAGTGTGGCTCTTGTGAAACCCTCCCTTGTTTTCTCAACTTGAACCGGTGGACTGCACGGCGTCCCTCCTCAAAGTTCCTGGGACGAGTAAATGAAGCGGGACGTGCACCCGGCAGGGGTCCGGTCACCCGGCTCTCCTCACCGTCACAAGCGAGGCCCAACGTCCCCGTGGCATCACGCACACCGGAGCCGGAGCAGGACGCAGGGCACTGGCGCAGGGGAGTGCTCATCCGCGAGGCAGTCCGTGCTTGTGAATCCACTTAGGACACGCGCCCTTTTCTAGATGTACATTCCATTTCAATAAAAACCACGAGACCACAGCAGGGACATGCCTCAGCGGTCCGGCTCTGCAAGTCTCTCTTCCTTCTCCTACCACACGCTTCTTTCCCGGCCAACACCGACCACCCAATGCCTTCTGGCCGCACTCACCAATATACCACCTGTACCAAGCCCCACTGTTTTAAGGAAGTAAATAATAGTTAAGTAAAATATACCTTCTCCAGGCAGGTTTACTTATGTAATGATGGAAAAGGGGCTTGTTCCTTCCAAGACTGCAGTTATAGATTATTTTCTTTCTGCAAATTTTAATTGTTCCTTCCAGCATCTCATAAAAAAGTTCAGGCGCACAATTAGACAGACTTGGCTGACTCTAGGTTAGACTGCTGTTTCCTAGTTGTTAAACTAGATGACAAGGGGGTAGAATATCTAACCTGCAAGACCTTCTATAATTTTATTAATAAATGGCCTAATGTGCTATTGATTAAGTCACAGAAACAAGGAGTTTCATTTTTAATAAATATCGTGTTCAATAGAAGGTTAGTTTGGGCCTTTCATCATATCTGAATAGCTAAGGTCACTGGTTCAATATTTCACAAATGATAAACTATCATAAAAATACTGATATCAGGGGCGCCTGGGTGGCTCAGTCAGCTGAGCGTCCGACTTTGGCTCAGGTCATGATCTCATGGTTTGTGGGTTTGAGTCCCGCGATGGGCTCTGTGCTGACAGCTCAGAGCCTGGAGCCTGCTTCAGGTTCTGTGTCTCCCTCTCTCTGACCCTTCCCTGCTCACGCTGCCTCTCTCTTGCTCTCTCTCAGAAATAAATAGAACATTAAAGATTTAAAAAAAATACTGATATTTCAAAATTTGAGATCATTAAAATGAAACCTATAGTTTATACTTTTTCTAAAATCTCATATAAAGTTAGGAGATGTACTGTGCCTTAAGTCTGAAAAGTTCCAGCATGTCAATCATCTGCTTGTATTTCTAATGTAAAGCAAATTTATTATGAATCCAGCCTTAGCGATCATAACATTCACAGTGGAAAGGTCCTCTGTGACTGACCGTAGAGTTTAGTGGTCTGTTAAAACGGCTGGATTCGTCGATGCTGTACAAGGCAAAAATGAAATTCCTGCGGTAAGGCACAAAAATAAAAGGCACACACATGACAAAGGAAAAAGGAAAGCTTTCCGCATCTGCAGATATCACCTATGTGGGAAACCATAAAGCACCTACAAAAACGCGACTAAGTGATATTAAAGAGGTCACGAGATACGGGGTCAATATGCAAATAGCAATTTATCTCTATGTTACTAAAAACTGACATTTAAAAAGACAATACATTTGGAGTACCGTCAGCAAACACGAACTGCTTAGGGACGGACGGAACTAGTGTGTGCGGGGTGTGTCCACGGGCGACCACAACACCCTGTTGACAGTGGAAACGATGGAGGCATAAACTGTCTTCGTGCATCAGAAGTGTCAACATTATTAAGATGCCACATTCTCCCAAAGCGTGCTACAGCTACAATACAACCCAAAATCCCACCAGGCCTTTTTCTGTAGAAACAGACAAGCCAATTCTAAAACTCATGTGGAAAAACGAAGGATATGGAGCAAAAAGAAATGGTATTTTCCTAGTTGTTTTATTAGCCAAAATAGCTGAAAAAGAACGGGCGGATTCCCGTGACTGCGTTTTAAGATTTGGTACATGGCAATGGGAATCAAGACAGTGTGGCACAGGGGAAAGCAAAGATGTAGCAGTCAATGGCACAGAAGGGAGTCCACTTCTATGTCCTATATACATATGGCCAGGTGATCTCTGACAAAGACATCAAGATGGTTCAATGGGGAGGGCGCCTGGGTGGCTCAGTCGGTTAAGCATCCGACTTCGGCTCAGGTCATGATCTCACGGTTTGTGGGTTTGAGCCCTGCGTCGGGCTCTGTGCTGATGGCTAGCTCAGAACCTGGAGCCTGCTTTGGATTCTTTGTCTCCCTCTCTCTCTGACCCTCCCCTGCTCACACTGCCTCTCTCTCTCTCTCAGAAATAAAATATTAAAAAAAAAAAGATGGTTCAATGGGGAAAAGACAGTCTTTCTAATACATGATGCTGAAAGAGGGAAGCATCTGCATACAGAATAGAGAACCTGGACCCTTGTCTTGCATCATTCATGGGGTCACATAAAGACCTCCAGATAAACAAAAATGGATACACAAAAGCCGAGGGGGTTCATTACCACTAAACCTGCCCTGCAACACGTGCTCCAGGGAGTCCTGAGGGGTGAAATGAAAGGGTACTAGACAGCAACTCAAAGCCATATGAGGAAATAAAGGTCTCAGTAAAGGTTAAACACATGGGCAAGTATAAAAGCTAGTGTTAACTGCAAAAACAGATCGTAACTCCACATTTTGTTTTCTTGATAATTTAAGTGACTAACACATTAAAAAACTATCAGACTGAAAGCTAGTCCTCTGTAACTTTGGCTTGTAACTTCACATTTTGTTTCTACATCATTTAAGATGCTAATATATTAGAGAAAACAATCATCAGGTTA